TCGCAGCGCGCCGTCGGGCGCAGTGAAATCGTAGCTAATGGGCCAAAAATGGAAACATAACTTTTTTTCATAACATGGAGACAATATGAGTAGTGACAGTGCTAAATAAAAGAATGTTGTAAAAGGAAAACCAGTTGAAAATAAACGAATGTTGTAAAAAGAAAACCACTTGAAAATAGAATGAATAGAAACAAAAGTATCAAAAGCAAAAAGAAACTCGTGACCACAAAAGTAGTCTTTACAACCAAGATGAACATCATAAAACTAGTCTTTAATTTCGATCGTAACTCTTTTTTTCTTTTTAGATTCACTTTGTTCTTGAAAATATTTGATGCATTTCATCGCCTCACCATATTCACCTCCTACTTCGATTTCACTTCTCACCCACTCGCGTGTCGATACAGATCTTGAGATAGTAGTTGGAAGTAGAGCCCCGCGATCCTGCGAGCAAACATCGGCGGAAGAAGAGAAGACCCGCTCAGCCGAGCAGGTAGTGCCTGAGACCGCAAGGTAGTCTCTTGCCACCAAGGCAAGTACCGGAAAAAATAAATGATTGACCTATATTATTACAAAATATGGGAAGAGTCATGATCAGCCTGGATTTTGTTACAACGATTAGCATCAATCAACTCACCCGCCACCAATCGTCAATAGTCTTGTTTTTGTCAAATTCCCGCTGTCCCATCAAATAGGACTCGAGTTCAGCTTCTCGTGCTGTTTGAGTGTTGCCATTAGGTCTGGCAGTGAAATCATTAAAGTCATCGTCGTCTTCGACATCAACTTGCGGGTCCTCAGAAGGTGCCGGTGGCTGTTGGGCAAGTTGAGATGCAAAAGCTTCTTTGATTAAGTTGCTAGCACGCTCACTGTGCTCCGGGTAAACTTTGTTGAAAAATGCCAGACGATATCGCGGGTGGATGATTGTGGCAATAACTAAAGCGTCACATTCAAGAGCCTCGTTGATGTATTGATCAAACTGGTTCTGCATGACTTCGATCATCTCCGTAAGTGCTAAGTAACTTGTTTTTTTTTGAATATCGTTAAGAGACTTTTTCATTCGGTTGTATTCAGGAAGGACCATTGCACCAGAAGGGAAATCTCCTTCCATGCGCTTGGTACCAGTAGAAAAAATCTGAAAGATAAAAACAATCATAAAAAATCAGCTGTTTTCACAAGTCCTGTTCCAAACACATATCACATACCTCGAGTATGCTATTGAGAGATTCAATAGCTTCCCATTCTTCAGTATGAATTATTGTACCTTTGAAATAATGTGAGCCCTTGCGATCATTCAACAACATCTTGTTCACAATCTTAGAACCCAAAATCAGCAAAAAGGTTATATAAACGACAAGAGTTAGTGATTCAATTGGATACACTCACTTCTTGTGCGGCACACATGCGAGTTCGTGAATCATAAATCACATTCCAGCGTATGCCATAACCTGCAATTGGTGTTCTATGATTCAATCCAGCCGCCTTGCAAAGTCCCTTGAATTCCTGGCGACGTGAATGAGAACCTGCGATTTTTTTGCTTACTGCATCAACCTAGTTATGTTTGTTGATTGTTAGATTAATCTAGCCTAATTGGGTAGATTACTGAAATAAATACCTTTTGAATTGCAGTTGCAAAAAGATCATCTCGATGCTTAGCCAAAGAAACATCAACAGCTTCTTCGTTTTGGTCGGGTCCTTCATCAGCTTCATCCAAAGGTTCATCTATGTCGCAGTCGTCTGAGTCAACGTCACCATCATCGTTTTCGCCATCGTTCAGGTGGAAACTCGGTTTGGGAATCGTGAGGTTGGGATTGGTAGTGGGTTTTGAGTGGCCTGAGTCGATTGAAATAAACTTCAATCCTACCTTTACTACAAGTGCTAACTTGTGGCAGTAGCACCGCGCGTGCATCTGACGACTCTTCCAAACAACTGAACCGGGTGCACAAGCAAACATTGACTCCATCTCTAACGCCATAGTGTTATTGTTCGAGCCAGAGTCAGTTGTCTGGCCAAGAACGTATTATTGAAAACATATATCAGTAATGATTATGATCAAAATAAAACAAAGAACTTATCTTTGAATGTAGATCATGGCGAATGAGATATCTCGCCACTGGTTTCGCCAAAAGGGAGCCATAATGATTCCATGCGACCATCTTGAATGTCAAAAGTACTGTATGTAATCTAAAGTCTGAGTCAACATAACAGGCATTGACGGCGATGAAGGCATAACGATTGCCGCGGGTTGTCCAAACATCATGGACAAGCCATATGCGGCTTGAGTTATTCTACATGAAAGGCATTGGAGTCCAATTAGTAAAAGTAGGAAAATAAAATGAAGAGTTAATTTAAATTAACTAACCTTTATCTTGTCTAAAACTGATTTGTGAAGCGATTGGTAGAGACCTTTTGCTTTTTGTGCTGCCCAAGTAGTTGATCGCAAGTCGGCAAGCGGATTAGCCAACTTGAAAGCTGACCGCAGCGAAGGATCCAAAAATCGGCTCCACGGAAGAGCATGTCGGATAACCCACACAACAAGCATGATGTTGAGAAGTTCGACAGAGAATTTTGGTTGGTCCAGGAATGATTTCATCATCATTCCACTCGCCGTTTTTTCTTGTTCCGCTTTTTTCAATTGCTGATATGTGGCAGGGAGTTTCACACCCGCTTTAATCGCCTTCTTGCGGCCCTCGCAGGGACCGCGGTCCTTATCACCATCTCGATGGCCATAGAGATTCGAATTGGTCCTTTCGCCACGAGTATACCACTCGTCACACCAAAGGCAGGGGTAAAGTCGCTTGAAAGGCCCAGTCTGTAATGTGCTTTAGTCAGTTAATGATGAAACATAATTATTAAATTTTTTTGGAAAGACTAACTTCACCGGGCACATGTTTTGGCTGCCCAAAATACGCAAGGAGATCCTTGACATCTTGCGTATGACCTGGTCGACTTTCGGTTATAGGTGCTTCATCAGATGAGTCCTGATGCACATCAACTTCGTCCGGAACATGATCCTGAAAAACCTTGGTCTCCGTCAGTTATCTTGATTACTAATACTACAGAAAGACGAATTACTGACCTTTTTTGGTTTCTTTGTCTTGCTGACTTTGGCCGCTTTTCCAGCTCCGCTTTTTGCTCTCTTTTTCTTATTTGGTTGACCGGCTGGTGCGTCCGATGTGGTACTAGTAGGCTGCTGAGACGGTGTTGAGCTGTTGTTGGCCGCTTCCGTTTCTGGATGAGGTTGTTCGATTGAAAGCTGAAGGTTTCCTGAAAGTTCTGCTTCAAGTTCCATGATGTGAAGAGGACAGGTAATGGTAGTAGTAGTAGTAGTACTAGTGTGATGGATGGTAGCTAGACTTGAATATTTCTCAGATGATAACGCTTTGAAATCTAAAAGAAAGCAAGAAAGGAAATCAATTTGTGATGTTATCGAGATGACGGAGAAAGTAACACAACAAGTGGATCTTAACTTACAGTCATACTTATAATAATGATACCTCTTTTTTCGCGCTAAAATGTAATAGAATCCAATCGTCATGATGATTAGAGTTGATTCAATTCAAGGTGGTGTAGGCCAATGTCACTGTCAGACTCGTAGTTGAATAGTTTGATTCGATAGTGCTTGGTTCTATTTAGTACTACTATGTTAAATTCAAGTTGAGGTGTTGTAAGGTCAATAAGACTGTCAGTGTCAGACCGAGTCGGAGATATATTTGATTTGGTTGATGAGATATTGTTATGAAAGGGGGTACCTCAGACTTCTGCCCCCTGCGACTTCGGGTTCCCCCTGCGATGGCCCCATTGCGGCCACGGCCCGGGTTTTCCCGCAGTGAACTGCGCCACGGCGCGGCCGCACCGCAGGGCTGTTTCAGTAGACTGTGTGCCCGGCGCGACCGCGCCGCTATCGCAGCGCGGTCGCAGTCTACAGCGGGGCGGTTTTGGTGTTGGTCTTAGTAGAGCTTAAAAGAATGGAACAACTAAGTATACAGTAAATACGAGGAAGTGATGATGATTTTTAGGATGGAAGAATGACTTTGAGAGATCATAGTGAGCGGGAACAATGGAGTTCGACAAGGACATTGTTAAATAGATCATTGAGATGGTAAAGAGCGTCTTCACGTGAAGGTAAAGAGGAATCGGAATTCCCGGAGATGGTCAAGAGCACAGCGAGTGATCATTCGCGACGCGAATGATTACCAATCGTTCGAATGAGCTATGTCACGTTTTCCCAGCTATGTCACCCATTCTCTTTTCTAGAAGCTAGCTCCTAGTACAAAGACTTTTTTTGAGAAAAGGATTGAGAGAAATTGGTTGATGAAGTCTATAGAATTTGATTGTGATCTTGTGCTGGATAATTTGAAAGACTTGGAGATTGGAGTGTGACATCACTTTCATATCGGCACGGTTTGATCATTAAACTTGAAGTTTGATACATTTCACTTGTATTGAATGAGTTGAACCTTCATTGACGGTTGAAACATGATATAGATTGGTCTGAGTGTGAAACAAATCTTCAGATGTGAAAGACGTTTATGTAAGTTGTGAATGGTCTCAATTAATCAATCCACTCGGAAACTTTCTTGCTTCAGTTCATCATCGATAGCTTTCGTCTTCACACTATAACCCTTCACCGAATCGTATGAAGAAAGCCTGGAATTATCAAACGATGATGGATGGATTGTTGGATTGGTGAAGATATTTGGAGTCGACTGAAGGATAGAGATAGTTGAAGTGTTGATAGAGGATTGGTAGTGAAGGCGATGAAGTTAAAGAAAGATCACTGAATGCCCATTGCCTGGTGCCAAGTGAATTGATAAGAAGTTAAGATTTCGAAATTGGAAATCTTCAAAATCGAATTTCAACCAAATAAACTTACTCAAACTTTCCAATCGATCTCATTCTCAACAATTGAATTGTTGAAAAACCCTCAAAACTTTGTCAATAAAACACATCATCAGTACTTCTCAAGAAACATCATTCATACCAGTCATCAACATCATCATCAAATGAACCCATCCACATCAAAATCAATTCCACATTCAACACATCCATCTGAATCTCAACCACTCAATCCTTCATCTAGAACTTCTTTATCAACCTCAAAACGAAAGATTTTAGAATCTATCGATAATGCTAAATTCAATTCTTCTCATCTAAAAACAATTATCATCTCAGGTGTTGGATTCTTTACAGATGCATATGATATGTAAGTTTCTTAAAAACTAGAAGGAAAAAAAGATTTCCAAGAAAACCAACTAAACCTTGCTTAATCTTTTTTGGTTTTCTTCTTTTTTTTGGGTTTTTTAGATTTGCTATTAATATTGCAAGTAGTATGTTAGGTTACGTTTTAAATCAAGATGATCATGGAAGATTAGATAATCAATTCGAATTAGCTATCAAGATTGCTACACCTATTGGAACGTTTTTGGGTCAAATCTTATTTGGATTCTTGGCTGATTATTTTGGTAGATCTAAGGTTTATGGATCTGGTAAGTTTCAAATTGGACTTATGTTTTGACTTTTTGATGAATTTGGATCCCGTTTGATTTTTTGGGGGATTTTTGGGTTTAGAATTGATGATTATTACCATTTCCACACTTGGTCAGGCTCTTTCTAGTTCAAGGTTTATGGTATTTTGGAGGTAAGTATCTATGTATAGATGTGTTTTTTTTTAATAAGATGATATCTTGAAAAAACCAAAAAAAGTTAACTGAAGATTGAATTTTGATTTGTTTTTGGGTAGGTTTCTTTTAGGCATCGGAATTGGTGGTGATTATCCTTTATCAGCTTGTATTACTTCAGAAGCTGCTGCTGTGAAGATCAGAGGTAGAATGATGACAGCAGTGTTTGCTTCTCAAGGTAAACCTATTCTTATCTTCCAATTCTCCTCTGAAGAAAAAAACAAAACCAGTTTTCCATCTATAATCTCATTACTAAAATCTGTCTTTTTTTGGGTGTGTGTTTCGTGTTTGTGTAGGATTCGGACAATTAACAGCTTCAATAATTTCATTAATAGTAGTTAAAGTGTTTGAAAGATCGATTAAATCAGATCCAATTCCTGGAAGTTCAGTAGAGAATTGTTGGAGATTGTTGATTGGATTCGGAGCTATTCCAGCAAGTTGTGCTCTTTATTTTAGACTGACGATTGGAGAAAGTCAAAGGTATCGAATCGAAACTCAAGATCATCTTTCGACTTTGAACTTGATGGAAGAAGATCAAAGAGCGTTTTTGAATGATACTGAATTAGAACTTCAGGTTTGGTTATACTTCTTTTTGGGAAATCATGGGGTTCTTGATGATTGATTTGTTTGGGTTTTTTTAGGAAAGTGAATCGAGACGTAAAGATCTGGAAAGACGTGATGATGAAGATGATGAAGATGAAACAGATACGATTAATAAAGATATCGAATCCTTTTCGAATTCACGATCGAATTCTCCAAAATCTCCAAAACACCAATCGTTTTGGTCACATTACAAACAATGGAAACATTTTAAAGTCTTATTTGGTTGCGCTTGGTCTTGGTTCGCACTTGATTTAGCATTCTATGTAAGTCTTGAATTAGGAAGAAAGAAAAAGAAGACACGATTGTTAAGCTTGTTGTTTTCTCTCGTGGGGGGTTGAATTTTATGATCTCTAGGGACTTGGATTAAATTCTTCTATTGTTTTAAGTGCGATTGGGTTTGGGAAATCATTGGATGGAAATCCGAATGATCAAATTTATCAAAGCCTAATGAATGTTTCGATTGGAAATATCGTTTTATCTATTGCTGGTCTTATACCTGGTTATTGGGTAGCGTGTGGGTCGATTGTTTGGACTTTGTTTTGGTTTCTTTTGAAAATCAAATTGGGTTTTTAACTTTTTTTGGTTCGTTTACTTTAGTTGCTTTTATTGATAGTTGGGGTAGGAAACCGATCCAGATCATGGGATTTGCTGCTCTGACTTCTCTTTTTATTATTATGGTTTGTTTTTACTTTCGAAATTGATTCGGTTCACTTTATCTTATTTAATTGGATTCTGATCTTTTTTGTTGGATAGGGAATTGCGTATCATCAATTAGTAGATCATTCAGTTCACTTATTCGTCTTCTTATACTGCCTAGCAAACTTTTTTCAAAACTTTGGACCAAATACGTATGTTTTTTTTTTCACGAATCGGTTTTGCCCCAAAAAATTTTTAAACTGAATTGATGAATTTTTGAATATGTAGAACGACCTTTGTGATACCAGCTGAATGTTTTGTGACAAGATATCGATCTAGATCTCATGGAATTTCAGCTGCTTCTGGAAAGTTGGGAGCTATTTTGGCTCAACTTGGGTTTACTACTTTGAAAGATATTGGTGGAAAAGATCAATTTATTGATAAGTGAGTTGATTTAAGATTTTGTACTTTGAATGTTCTTTTTTATCTCCGAATGATTGATTTGATTGTTTTTTTCTTTTGCAGGATCTTTATAATTTTTTCTGGGTTTATGTTTTCGGGTTTGTTAAGTAGTTTTTTGGTACCTGAAACTATGGGAAAATCTTTAGAAGAACTTTGTGAGATTTTCATTTCTTTTGCTTTTTCTCAATATTTAAAAAGGTATTGTATATATGTATTCAAAGATGTGGTTTTATTCAATTTTTAGCTGGTGAACTTCATCAAGAGAATGAAGATCAAAGACGTGAAAGTGAATCGATTGATTTGAATCATTAGAGATATAGGTAAGAATACTTTTGAATCAAGTTTTGTTTCTGAATGTGTCTTGTTGAAGTGAATTGAACTGAACTGATTGACGTTTTTTTGTTGTGTTTTTTTTTTGGTGATAGGATCTGACTTTTTGGATTTGTAAAGACCATTAAACATACCTTGTTTTTCAAATCTCTTCTTTCGTATAACTTTTTCTTTTACTTGCTCTGATTATTACCTGTCTCTCTCTCTACAAGGTCATACATATATTAAAATGCTCAAGTTATATCTGTTTTTTTCTCTTCATGATCTTTTTATATTTTTATCATCTGTTTTCTTTCTGTATTTTTATTTCGAGAAGTTTGTTGACTTGAAGCTTTACTTTGGTTCATAAATGGATTTGTTTCTTGATCGTTTGATTTTTCTGGTTTTTGTTTTATCCTTTATACATTTGATGTTTTTTTTTGGATTTGTTTGTAAATTGAATATGATTGATTTGTTTTGTTAAAATGGACTTTTTTTTGCTTTGATATATGATTGTTTTTCTGTTTGGTTTATTTTTATATTTTGATTTAATTTTTTTGTTTTTTGAAAACATGATAGATTTTTTGGTTTTTTCTTTTGTTGGAAGTTTGGTATGATGATCATTGGATTTATAGGGTTTATTATCATCATCCTAAAATGGATAGATTGAGATTGTGGGAGTTTTTTTAGGTATTAGGAACTAGATGTGATGGTCATCATTATGATTGATGGGAGTAAAGCAAACTTGCATGTACAAGTAAAGGATAAGAATTGGTGAGAAGATCTCTCAGATTCATTAAGGACAAGGCGCGGAAGTCAGGCCGTCGTCGTGACGGAGGTATCGTTAGTAGGCTCGTTTTAACCGGATTTGCGAGCCATCTTCTCAAAAGTGGCTTATAAACCGCTTTCAGACATTGTTTTGTCGAGATAGATGGTTTTTTATTGTCGAGCCCCGCATAGGTTCAGTGAGGCTTGTGATCAAGCATACGTCTGCTATGGGGCTTTGATGTAACTCGCTTTTTTAATCCATTTGCTCATCACTTGATTGCAACGCATTCGTGAGGTCCAATTTTAGGACCTCACGAATTCGTTGCGACTTGACTGTTTTCTACGCTAACAGTTAGGTTTCGGCACTTTTGAAAGTGATTTAACCTGTGCATCTTTCCCTCGAGGATGGTTAACAGGGTTTGCAAGCTCAAATGAGAAATAAGATTTATGGGTATTCTAAGTACCCCCATGGAAGAGGATTTCTGTGAAAGGTGTGCCTATGGAATATAAGGACACCTACAAGATTCTTTTGTCCTTTCTTTCTTCCTCAGTTATAATTCGTTATCAGGCTATAGCTATCGATATACTAAAATATTTGCTTAAGTTCATTCTTGTGTGTTAGGTATTTTGATACCATATTTCTAACCTTTTGAAGTTTTGCTGACCAATCTTTCTGCTGGAGACTCAGCATTAAATATGTGTTAGGTATTTTGATACCATATTTCTAACCTTTTGAAGTTTTGCTGACCAATCTTTCTGCTGGAGACTCAGCATTAAATATGTCATGACCAAATTCGCAAGCCAGCTGGTTGCCGATAATGGGCCTGAACCTGGCTAACTTGGTGATGAGTAGAGATATCGATCTGGTGATATGAGTGAGAGCCAGATTGATACCATCTACCATGTCACAAGCTCAGCATTCATGACAAAGTTCCATTCATTGTAACATTGCCAACTTCAAGGATGGTATTAGATAGGTTGGCGAGTGACATCCTTTTGCATGTCACTCGCGCTCTACATGGAGATTCGGCTGATCCTCGTCTTAAACTGGAAAAGTTTGCCACGACGCACGACTTTCGGGCCGAACTGCGCCTGGTCCTTTCTTTTCTCATGGTCCCATCATCATGTTTTTAGTTCCAGATCTCATACTTCTCGCTGCAGTCTGAGCTTAAAGACCACCACTTTGAGATTTGAATACATGTAACTTGAGACACCCAACTAGAGCTGTAAATTGGGTGTTTCTCAAGCCAATTCTGACACTATTGTTAATTTAACTGCTGATGCGCTGAAGTTTTTAGCAACCTGGCTGTAAATGCTTTAGTCTCTGTACTAAAAAGGAACCCTGGCTTATATACAAGAACCACATATTTATCTCTTGAATCTCATTCATGATCTCGAGTATCTATTATCCATCAACTGTACTCAAAATACAGGCATCCACCCTCACCGGCGTTTTCCTTGTGATTTAATGAGGTCTGATAAATTTGAAAGCTATAAGCTTACAAATAAGTGCCAAATGTCCCATCAAGATGTCTGGACTTTGTGTCATGAGTAAATAAATTATTGAGTTTCAAAAATGACTGATGGCTGGAGCAAGGTCAGACACTATGTGTAGGGCGTTATTACAAATGAAGAGTGTCATCAAATCGGCAGCTTTCCAATCTCGCGACATAGCTTAACTGTTGACATCTTTCCTTTGTACTTATGGATGTCTAGTTTTGATTCAAAATCAATTGAGGTCAATCTCGGTGGTTTGGGGAGTGAGAAAGAATTGAATCAGTTGTATACTTACCAGGGTCAGTAAAATCACACACAGGCAAGTTAAACACACAATCAGAGTCCGTATTGTAAGGGTTTGTTCTATATTTTGTGCGAGATCCAGGGTCAGAGCTCTTTCAAACTGAAGCAAACCCAATTTAACCGTTACTGACACGTTAACTATTGAAGGATGCTCGAATCCACCAAACTTTTGTTGGCACTTCCAAGCTGTTTCAGTCAAGAGCTCAGTAGAGAGACCATATTTTGACTTGATCAAAGGGGCATTGTACGGCGGGGTTTCTTCATCATTGTCACCGACTAAAACAATGTTCATCATTCTAGTGATGAATCATTTTTATCAGTGAATGAAGGCTAGAATACCCGTCAAGAGGCGAAAAAATAGGGATACTCACATTCCTGAATTGTCACAGTATGACATCTGTTCAGAGCCACTCAGAGCTCCAGCGGGTCCATCGCCATCGCAAGGTTGCTATTTCAATCAACAGCATGAGTGTGAGAATTTATTCAATTCACAAGAGTTGGTTTTGCTCACACTTCCCCTGGTAATGAAAGCTTTCTATCATACCCCAAAATAACATACATTGGTTAGAATCAGAAATGATGGCTTTGGATTCTGTTTGTGATGGAATTAATGACAAACTTGAATTCTCAAAATATGGCAGATTGCTTTGAGCTTCAAGGTGAGATCTAACTTTGATTGAATCACAATATCCGGTTCCATCTCTAGATCCGTAAAAAGTGTACCATTCTTGGCTATGCCGTACAAACCATCATCAGAACTGATAGCGGATTCGATGATCTGGCTGCTGTACTTTGTCAGAGCCGATTGCATGTGGCTCTCAAAGTCTTGCAGCTGGTAGAGGATCTCAGTCCACTGTTGAGATGATGAGATGTAAGGTTAGTATGATTTAGTGATGCTTGAGCTATACACCAGTGAGCTTACTCTTGTGAACTTATGTGGATCAGGGACCTCCAAGTTTGCCATCACCCACACAGCTCCGGATGCAAGAAACATTGATGACATCAAAATCAACCACAGGATTCGTAGGGCTCCAAATCCGAATAATACTGCTGGTGTCCCGCAGATCCAGGCAGCCATTATTCCGACATAAACTGCAGCACAAGTCCAGAACATTGATGCTTCTGGAATCAAGTCATCAACCTGAATTTTTGGTCAGAAGAGATTTTTCTGTTGAACATAAAGGAGCAAAGCCACTAGTATGAGCTTACCATAGACGGCGTCAAGTCTTTTCAGCAGAAAGTTGAGACCGAGTGATGCAAAAGGTCAGTGAGAGTGTATTTTATCCAAGCATCGCGTATCAAATTTGGAGCACTTACCAGAGATGTATGCAATACTGTAGGCTGTTGCTTCATAAACCTGGTTATTGAAAGTGTTCCACCGATGGGCAGCTGCGAGTGCATACCAGTCCTTTCCTTCTACTCCTGCGCATAGCTGTGGACATTGTAGAACACACCTATGAGCCACAATTTAGCATGTCACCAGTTTTCCAGGCAGTATTACTCGCCTGAGAGGGGTTGCATTGATTACCGATTCCGCATTGAAAGTTGGTTGCCCCAACAACATCTGCGTAAGCCTTTTAAATTTAGCCAAGAGTGTCAATTCTGAGTGTTTCTTCTCTTCAAGAGGTGACGGGTAGTGATCAGATTATACTTACAGGAAATGTGAGATTAAAGCCTCCTGGGTATCCTCTCAGATGTTGATCCATGTCCATTTCGCGCCAGAGTTCTGGATTAAGCTCTTCTTTCAAACAATTGTTGAGATTCTCTTGGACGGGTAGGTGGAATTGAGACTGATAATCTGATTTGACTTCAGAGTCCGTTCCCAACGATATTCCTTTGCCATCTTGGTTCGTGTTCAAGAAGTTAGGAAGGCCAAGTGAACAATTCACAAGTGAAGATAGTAGAAAAAAAAGAGTCTGAGGACTTGGCATTCTAAGTTGGGCTGAAAAATGACAAGAAAATAGGATTGGCACAAGGAAAATTAACTCAAAACTATATACGATAAATGTCTTAGGTTACGAAGATGGTCGTCCTCGAAACAAGATAGTATTGTTGCGCAATTTGATTCTTTTATGATCGAGATAGTAAAATGTTTGTATGATAAATTGGCTTATATAGGGGTACGTTTTCCAGCCGCTGAAGCAATAGTGTCTGTCTACAGCAGCCGGCGCAAAAGAAAGCAGGATTGGGGAAGGTACGTAGGTTTCCTTATCGCGTCCATTTAGTATCATGATAAGAAATCAGGATACTTGAAACAAGTACTTTTGTCGCAGAGCGGTTTCCTTCGTCCTTGACACACTTTATGAAAGGGTGATAAGATATTCAACGACGTTGAAAGTTATGTATCGGTTCAAAGCTTAATGTTTCGATGTTCGGAAGCCTTTGAGCGCAGTCTCTCCACACCTGGATGAATACTCATTTTGGACTGTGACATGCACTGCCCAGGAGACCTTTCTGCGGCGTAATAGTATCAAGAGTGTGATAGGCCAAAGTAGGAAACGAGCTGGGATTGGATGAAGCTCGTTAGACTTGTGGTAGCGCGTCGATCAGCCAAAATTTGCAGTGATCGAGTTGAGGAATTCTCGCCCGAAGCTCAATGGCCATAACGGATTTTTTAACAGAACCAGAGTAAAAATCCAAACCAGTAACATGACCAATACGTTTCTGATCTCAATCCATGAGCATATCCATCTGTGGCACTGTGCAATGTTCGATCAGCGGCCTCTCAGTTTCATCAACTTTGAACTCGTGCCACACTACTTACATAGATATAGCAGGCGATGCGCTAATTCACCGCCAAATTGCTCGAGTTTTGCGGGCAAGTTTCGGCAAGCTTTTTGAAACGATGAGCTCTGGCGCCAGGTACTCGGCTGCACTGTGTGTGGAGTACAAAGTGTTGCTGTGAACTTTGGGACAACTGCCATGCCACTTTTCTCGCTAACGGTATCAGTCATACCTAGATTTGCCGTATCCAGACATTCCTGTTCTCGCTTTAGACAAACACTTTTTAAACGTACTTTATCTGGAATGTCGGAACCCACTGGCTTCATATTGCCGAAGGACGTGCAAGATGTTCAAGGATCCTCTTTTACTACCGCGCTCATTCAACTAGGCGCTATCGGACCTGACAAGTCGGCGAATCTTATTCATGCTCGATCCAAGATAAATGAAGCTGTTCAAGGCGCGGCTATTCGACCAGAAGTTGTGGTGTTACCTGAGGTCTTCAACAGCCCTTACGGTCCTCAGTACTTCAAAAAGTACGCTGAAGTCATCGGATGGTCAGAAGGCAACAAAGCCCCAGAAGGTTGGGACGTAGAAAGTTGTCAAAGCGATAGTGTGAAAATGCTAAGTCAAGCCTCACGCGAAAACAAGATCTGGTTATTTGGTGGTTAGACCTCAATGATATGGTGTAATGCATAGTTGCACGTTTCATGACTTTTTTATACCCTGACTTGGATTAGGCTCGATCCCAGAGAGATGCTCCAAAGATCCGAATGTGTTGTATAACACAGCTACAGTCTTTTCACCCGAAGGAACCCTGGTGGCTATACACCGCAAACTTCACCTCTTCGACATCAATATACCCAATCAAATCACATTCAGAGAGAGTGAGACGCTTAGTGGTGGGAAAGAGGCCGTGACTATCGTTGACACAGGCTAGTCCCCCTGTTTTGAAACGGAACGATAGGGAAAACTGACCATGTTGGTTGAATATAGCTTTTGGTAAGATTGGAATCGGAATTTGCTACGACATCAGATTTCCTGAGATGGCCATGATTGCGGCGCGCAAAGGTATGCCCTTTTATTGCCTCATAAGCTTTATCCTTTGTGTTTACCAAGATGTACATTTGCAGGCTGTATAGCGATGATCTACCCTGGAGCCTTTAACCTCACCACGGGACCTTTGCATTGGGAGTTACTGGCTAGGGCAAGGTATGTCTTGATAGCACCTTTCATATGGTAGTCGAAACCTCCTGTGTGGCTGACAATTTTTCTCCATCATGGAAATGTTGATAGAGCCGTGGACAATCAGATATACGTAGCGGTGTGTTCACCAGCAAGAGACATGTCCAGTGGGTATCATGCATGGGGTCACTCGACTATCGTCAATCCAATGTGGGTCATCTCTGTGCGACAGACCGAGCTATCTATACTGACAGCTCTCTTATTGGTGTAGGGCTCAAATCGTCAGCACGACAGATGAAAATGAGTCAATCATATATGGCTTCATTGACGTCAAGGAGATCAATAAGGCTCGAAGAGGATTGCCGGTGACGGTTCAGCGACGCTTTGATGTATACCCAGATATCAGCTCCTTGATTGATGAAATCTAAGTCCTCTGGTAAGAGTAATCCCATCACGCCTTCCCAAGTCGCTTTGACATGGATCTGCACTTCATATCATCCGGCCACATAGCATTGGGAATCTTCACTTTGGAAACGCTGTGATCATAGTGTTTGAGTAATGTAATCTTAACAGAATCTGTATATCTGACTTCTTTGCATATGCCCGGGATCTGACAAGTGATGTGAAATGTTTGCTGTTAAGATGACTTCTTCTTCTCAACTCTGTGCTGAACAACCACTCTGGTGTCATTGTTCCTCTATATACTGTTGTGCCTCATTCTTGACATGATTGACACCGCTGGTCTTGAATTGAAGAAATGTCATGGTTATCCTGTACATCACTTCTGCTCTGCGATGTGAAAATCTCAAAGAAATTTTGCTAATATCCTCCAGTGCATCGTGTCACTCGAAGTGTCTGTTGGAGTGATTCAGTCACTTCTTCATGGTGCTCAAATCAAAAAATCAAAATTTGAGCTACATCAATAGGTAGTGATGTAGTTTGAGGATGTGCTTTTTGGTTTTCTCAGCCATAAAAAAGGCTCCGCCAATTCACAGTTGGCAGATTCAATCCAAATTTCAATGTAACCAAGGTGAATCTCAATATAACAAAGTTATTGCCGAAATACAGCTGACTTGGTGCACGTGCAAACTTTTGGAGCCCTGCATTGTCAAGATGAAGCTTTAAAAGTGCAGGCACCTGAAGTGAGCTTCAGGATTCTTGAAAACAATATCAGAGCACACACCGGGTCCGGGTAGTGTTTGCTCGTCGACGAGCGCGCACGACAATATTTCACCATCCTCGTCAATCCTAACCCGTCCCCAAAAGAAAGAAAAGAAACATATCCATAACACTTCACTAATTGATAATTCTTAATAATCTTATACGTAATTTTAAAGGTTGTAACTTGTAAATTTATTTGAAAATTTGTATGTAGTAGTAATCCATTTATTTGTTTAATTTGACTTATGATTTTGTTAATTGATTTGTCCCACCGCAGTCCCCCTACTACACTTGTAATTGTTGTATAACTATCCTACCAGCCATCTAGTCCTCCACCCTCAACTACCCTGTCCCGTCCCCAAAAGAAAAGAAGAAACATATCCATAACTCTGCTGTGATATTTGTAAGTATTTATTTGTCTTCTCACTATGACCAACACACAAACCCCGCCGCAGCGCGCCACATTTTTGGTCAACTGAGACAGCGCTGGGCTTGATCGCAGTGGCTACATAGCCTCACCACAGCGCTACCGCAGTGCAAAAAAAATGCCCTGAGACAGCGGCGCGCTCAAATGGGGCGCAGCGCGCCGCAGTCCCCCTTTTTAGCAGGGAAAACGAGCCTTGGATAACCCAACAAGAACAAAAAATAATTCAGATACATATTAATCAAAGGAAAATGAGACAGATGTCCATACATCGTGAATACACTATCAAGTCGTTCACAAAGAGTATCTTATTGTGGAAATGAGATAGCCATTTCTAAGACTCATGTAGGACATTCACCATCAAGTATTGAAGGCTAAGATTGACAAGAGAATCGTCTATCGCTTGTTCATTACTTCTCACACCTCACAAACCGCCTATTAACTCGATCGTGATCCAGGTACAATAAAGGAGACTGCTACAAATAAAAAGACAAAACATAGGCATTAGAATGCAAAGGGGAATGATATGATTGATAAAGACAGTCGAATATTGGAGGTGGAGAAGTTGGAATCCTTTTGGTATGATATATCCACTGTGTGGGTGTCAAAATTTCAGCCTTGCTTTAACTGATCATGAGCGGACCACTTCTCTTCCCCTCCCCGCAGCGAGCGGTCTGAAAAAGCTGTAGCTTCAATTGATTCATCACTTGAGTCAAACAACAATCACCATGTCATCAAAGCCATCAAAAGTCTGAATCGCATGCATGTCCCGGTCTCCAATGGTTTATTTTTGGTTTCACTAGAAATTCTACAAACGCAATATGTGAAATGGGCTGAGAGTGTCAAATACGAAGTTGAGTTCAATCATCAAAGTGACCAGGCATGACTTTCATTGACACATTCAATGTGACCCATTTTCTTAATAGTATTACGGCTTTGAAGTTGCGAGTCCTCCAGAGGAGTAGATGGAGTAACAAGACCTACAGAATCCGTTCCTTCTCTTTGATCGAAAACACCAAAGTATTTGCATGCATACGCAAGAGACATTCAAAATACATTCTCATACCCAGCCCAGAACACTGCCATTGCTAGAGAGGTTTGTCTATTGGTATGATATCATGTGATCAAGAGGACTGATCTGTCACTATCTTTTTAGCATTCTACCCTTATAGGTGCGCTTCCAATCTCTTGGGATTCGAGTGTCTTTCCTTTGAGTTGACAAAAGCAGGTGGGTTTCCGATCTCTATGATATGGTACATTCATACTCATGCTCCTCTTGTGATCAGACCGGATGTCATCAAGGCATTGATCACATGACCAGAAGGCACACCGTACTCAAACAGATAGCCCTCCAAATGTGAAGACTATGACCACCAAAGGAGGTAGATATTGATTAAATCCTAATCTTTATGGAGATGGGAAGGTTTGCTTATTGCTAGTCGGCATTTGGCAAGGACCTGGATGGATTGGCGGTAAAAGTACTTTGTTACAGGTGACTGACAATCTTTGACGCACTGCGACCCAGGGTTCCCACTGGGGTGCCCTCAATTGGACAGCGGCGGGGTGTACCGCAGTGAAAACCGCGCAGCGGAGCGGTATCACCCCAGTGAAGTTTCATCAGACCAAGGCAACGGTGCAACCCCCGCGCCACCGCCGCGCTGCCCCAGTTTACAGCGGCGGGGTTTGCGTGTTGCTATGACTGATACTATTTATTTATTTGACTTGTACGTAATTGATCTTTATTTTCATTTGATTGACTTTATCTTATCCTATTGTTTTGACTTGCTTGCTTTAATTTTTGAGTTTGATTTACTTATACTAATTATCCATTCCTGCCTTCTGTCCAACATCCTCAACTGTCCCCTCCTCGTCCCCTTAAAAAAGAAACATATCCAGAATTCTAACTAAGTTTGACATTGATGATAATAATTTACTTTGACTATTTTGATTCATTGTTTGATTATTGTAATAACTTTGTATGTAATTTGATTTTGTCATTTGACTTGTAATTTAGTTATGTTGTTAATGTACTTATTTTTAACTATCCGTTCATGCCAACTATCCTCCATCCTCAACTACCCATTTCCAACCGCCATAAAAAAGAAAGAAAATGTAACAACTTGAATTTGAAATTAATTTTGAAACATGATAATATCAGAAGAAAGAAATTTAGAGAAATAGGTCTATAGCAGTAATCCATTTTTGATGTTTGTAATTTTGATTTTGACTAATTGTTGTTGTATGTAACTAGTACCCAGCCCGTGCCCCCTGCTATTTGATTTTGTTTGAATTAATTAAAGATAAAAATTAGAAGAAACATAATAAAGAAAACACAACACGCCCCATGTACTGGAGTAATTTTGATTTTTAAAGTAGTATACCAATTCAATTTTGATTGATGTGAATATTGAATTTGTGATTTATTTGTTTGTGCCCGCCCCTACTCTACTACTTTGTGTTGTTTAATTGTAATAACTATAACTATCCATTCCTGCCAACTTCCTCCATCCTCAACTACCTATCCCACACCAACGTGATAACAGAGAAAGTGATACTAAGAAATCCAACTTGATATCCCTGCAAAACTCTAAGTCCACCACTCCATTATACTGTACAATCCTTCACCCAAAAGAAAAAACAACCAAAGCACACACACTCATAAAGAAACAGAAGGAACAGAAAAGAAACTTAATGAACATTGAAACAGCTACTTTTATTTTTATTTTTGCCTTTTAAATTTAATTTGAACTACCCGCACTAGCCGACTCCTCATCTTGAAACTCATTTCGCCTTACCACCGCTGATACCCCTCTTGGAAAAAACCTCTTAATGTGTTCCGCCGCAACTCTTCTACCTAAGATTGTCCCGTCTAACTCTTCCAAAATGTATGATCCTCCCATATATTGCTCCTTGACCCTATAAGGACCATTCCATCTATCTTCAAACAACTTTCCCCATCGTGTCTCTAAACTTTTATTATATACCAAGACCAAATCTCCCTCCTTTAATGAGTCCCGCAACCTATGTGCATTCTTTTCATCCCAATATATCACTCCTTCAGTTCTTGCCTGCATCATTCTTCCATGTGCTTTATCCAACATCTCTTCTCTTTGTTCTAATTGTTCTACCCTTGCCATCAACAGCTCCTCCCTAGTAGTAATTGTATCCCAATCAACTCCTAAGAATGTTCCTGCTTCAACGTCAACCGGCAAGATTGCCCTTTGATTGAAAAGAACTTCATAAGGAGATAGTCCTGTGGTCCGCTTTGTTGAAATCCTGTCTGCAAACAGTACCAAGGGTAACTTCTCCGCCCATTTCTTCCCGTCTTCTCCACACATTTTTACCAAAGTATCTTTCAAAGGTTGATGTCCCCTTTCTACCATTCCTTCGCCTTGAGGCCAATAAGGAGTTCCCTCCCCCAACTTTGATCCTGACATCCGTACTGCTTCTCTCAATTCCGCCTTGAATTCCGGTCCACCATCTACAGTAAAACATTTCACCGCCCCATATCTCCATATCCACTCCTTTAAAATGAAGTCTGCCACTGCTTTCGCCGTCAAATTTTGTAATGCCTTAGCTTCCACCCATCCCGACAGATCATCTCTTGCTACAATTAAGTACTTATATCTACCAGCCTTGATGTGCACTGCATCCAAGCTAACTCTCCCAAACACTGTTGTTCTCTGGTTGCATGTCCTTTCTCTTTCTGGG